CATTACGAGTGTCTTATACCCATTTTAAACACTTCTCGGTTTTATTAAGAGTGTCTCAAACCGTTCTCAGTTTCATTACGAGTGTCTCAAACCCTTCTCAGTTTCATTATGAGTGTCTTAAACCGTTCTCAGTTTCATTATGAGTGTCTCAAACTCATCTTAAACACTTCTCGGTTTTATTACGTTACGCAAACTCATCTTAAACCCTTCTCGGTTTTATTAAGAGTGTCTCAAACTCATCTTAAACCCTTCTCGGTTTTATTACGAGTGTCTTAAACCGTTCTCAGTTTCATTACGAGTGTCTCAAACCCTTCTCAGTTTCATTATGAGTGTCTCAAACTCATCTTAAACCCTTCTCGGTTTTATTAAGAGTGTCTCAAACTCATCTTAAACCCTTCTCGGTTTTATTACGAGTGTCTTAAACCGTTCTCAGTTTCATTACGAGTGTCTCAAACCCTTCTCAGTTTCATTATGAGTGTCTCAAACTCATCTTAAACACTTCTCGGTTTTATTAAGAGTGTCTCAAACTCATCTTAAACCCTTCTCAGTTTCATTATGAGTGTCTTAAACCGTTCTCAGTTTCATTATGAGTGTCTCAAACCCTTCTCAGTTTCATTATGAGCGTCTTAAACCGTTCTCAGTTTCATTATGAGTGTCTCAAACTCATCTTAAACACTTCTCGGTTTTATTACGTTACGCAAACCCAACTTTAACTCTTCTTGGTTATTTTACAAATGTCTCAAACCCATCTTAAACCCTTCTTGGATTCATTACAAGTGTCTCAAACCCTTCTCCTTTTAGTTTCTGTAAATTTTAAAGCTGCGTTTTGACACTTGCATGGAAGTTCTTTGACAGAAAATCTGTGGCTACAACTCTAAATGTCCAGGTCTTAAAACCACACTGACAATTTATGCTGACCAGATCCAAATCTGCCTCTCTGTACTCGAGAGATTAAAACATAAATGTAGGGGTTGATGCTGTGATTTTCATACATTGGTGATATAAAATGAGGCTACATGACTTGTTGGTCTCAAACACAGAATTCAGTGAAACTACAACTAAGGTTCGCTTTTTCCTGCAACTCTGAGTAGCCAACTTGTCTCCAACCATAACCCATCACTAGATATTGCAAGTCCAAACATTGGTTTCCAGTTCCTTGGCTTGATTTTTTCCCGTCTCATTTCTGTCTCTGCAGATTAAGCCGTGCCACTACCTGCCGTGCTTCGTGACGTCGAAGAACGAATGCCTCTGGACGGACATGCTGTCTCACTTTGGCTACCCTGGCTACCAGTCCCGGCACTACGCTTGTATCCAGCAGAAGGAGGGCTACTGCAGCTGGTACCGAGGCATGACCGCCCGCGACAAAACCACCACCAACACCACAGACCCCGCTTAATCCGCAGAGACAGACCTCCCCCCCCCCCCCCCGCTCTGTCCTACCTGTCTCTGTCCCACCCTTGATCACTTTTAGAGTATTACAGAACTCTTAAAGGTCACTGACTGAAAATCTCCTTTTACATGAGGAGCAAAAGAGCAAATACTTTCCAGTGCCTGTCTGTAGCACTTCTGATTTAAAGAAAAAAAGCTTTTTGTTGTACAGATTGCCCTTTAACTCTCGTGTTTTCACCACTGTACAATCAGCAACACAACCCGTACTCTTGAGTCCATCTTTCTTCGGTCCTAAAAAGGAGGATTTAGACAGAAGGAGCCATTAGGAGGTAGGAGGCTATAATCGATCTCCAATGGGAATGCCAATCATCTAATGCTACTGTTTTCGAAAGGTAATTTAACTTTTATAATCAACTCAAATTTTTAATACAGTACACTCAAGTGATGCAAACCAGTGCTATCAACACTGCCAATCATCTTGTGAACAAAGATTTTTGTGCCAATCTGTCAGGTATGATTTGTGAATTGTACCGTTTTGTATTTGAGTTCTAAAAACGTAACCGACTGTGTTCTGAATTTTTACTGTAACGTGTCTTTAATGGTTGTGTCCCTGAATGTTTTTGGTGTGAACTATTTTCCACCCCGTCCACGAGTTGTGCACTGATCGGTATCAGAGAAATGTTAAAAAGCAACGCAGTGCCAATGCAGACATAAGCTCATTTCTTTGCAGATGTTGGTATTTAATGGTTTTATTTTTGCTGTATATAACATAAGCTACAGAAATGAAATACCAACTCTGCTCAAATCTCTACTTATTTATGTTAATAAAATTACACAATAACTATGTGATTATATGTGCATAAAATAAAGAGAAGTGTATATATAATATAGACCAATCAACATAGCAATAAACAGAGTATTAAATCATCCAGAGAAGCATCTGCTTGTTAAGTACGGTACTTCAGAAGTGTTTTGTTATAGTTCCCTTGGCTGGTACTACTTAAAGCACCCACCAATGATAGCTCAGTATAAACAGATTTCTGGTATTTAAGTGTATATTCAATCTTTGTATTTAACTATTTGAAATGGACATTACATATAAGTGAACATTGCGTTTTCCCTAAATTTAGTCTTCAGCTACTCCCTTTATGGTTTTCCCATCATTAGCTTCCATTCAGTTCATTCCATTACTGGACGCAGGACGGCCTCAACGAGGGCAACAGCCACCGTTGTGACACCGCTACAACAGCAACATGTGCAAAAACCTAGTTCTAAACCCATTAGACATTCGTGCTCACCAGATTTTTTCAGAAAAGAAACGGAAGAGAAAACTGGCTCTCTTGCAAAGTATGAAGCTAAAGTCAGCAACTGCTTAGCTTAGCAAACAGCTTTTGGTTGTTTTTGTTACTGGGATGAAATTTTTCGTAGCGATGCATATTACAGCCTGGTACCCACTGGATGTTTATATGGAACAGCTGTTTTTACCTTGTACTTACAGGATACGTACTTGGTGGTGCAACTGGTATACTACCAAAGATATATTGAGTAAAAATCCAATAAGTACCTGGCAGAATACCAGGTATATTACCATATAGTATACCAGGTATACTGCCAGGCGCCTACTAGTTATACTGCAAAGTACAAACTTGTAAGTACCAGGTACATATCAGGTACACTACCAGATGCATACCAGGTATACTACCAGGTTTGTACTCTGTATTGGGTAACTAGTCACATCGTAATAGAGCCTAGTTCCTACACATATCCCATGTGGACCCATGAAGTACTGGGTACATATCATGCATGGCTACCAAGGCTTGTCAATGTGTCTAACATCCAGTTTATTTTAGGGGTTTAACAATAAATATTAATTAGCAACAATTCAAAAGTGGAGACCGCTATGTGTACTCAAACGTTTTAAAAACTGTTGCATAGGTACAACAAAAAAGTTAAATTGTGTCGTCTGGACCAGTTTCGTCAAGTGAGAAACGTTTCGTCACCCATTCCCCTTAAAACGTTTGTTTTTGTTGTTGTTGTTGTTGAACAGGTGTTGCCTCCATTTCCAAGCAATCCCAAACTACGTCAACTGCTGCTGACTTCAGCTTATAAATTAGAGTTTCTTTCCAACTTGCACATGAAAAAAGCCCCTCAGCTTGAAGGCATCTTTTAAAACCAAAAGAAGAAATAAAACCTCACTTTTAAAAAAGCCCCTTATGTTTTATCAGTGATGGAGAGGTTTCACCTCCAGTTGTGGCCATTCTGCGTCATTATTTCTGTGGTTCATGTTTGTGTAAATATGCTGTTTCTTTAACATAGATAAAGATCGGTCAGGCTTAGTCTATAAAAAACAAAACAAAAAAACAATCAAGGAAGCCGTGTACAGTCCGTGTGTAAACACTGATTCCTGAACTGTGTGGGTTGAGGGTCTTTCTTTGTTGGGGGTAGAGAAATGTTTGACTTTATTTCTGTGTTTTATATTTTTGTAATAAAGATTTAATGAAAAAAGAACCAAAGTTGGCTTTTTGTGCATTATGTGGTGTATTTTCTTTTACTTTGTTGTTTAAATGAAGAGCAGCCATGCCAAACACTCACCATCTGTGTGTGGTTGGGAAAGAACGTTTGTTCGTTCAGGGGGAATTTCTCTGGGCCGAGGGAGCGGTACAGCTTAATCATCTGAGAAAACTGTAAAGACAAGTACACGAAAAAGCAGTTTTGCTTTTAGCTGTGGACAATGTGTGTGGTTAGATAAAAGCTACAACCTTAGTTTGCAGATGACACTTGGGTTATCTTGAACTCAACAACCATGTGTGAGATGGAGTCAGGTTATCAGGTTATCTTACCATTTTTAGAAGTCAACAAAATGTAACTGGAGCTAGAACCCACCAGAAGCATTAAATATCCTTCACTTGGAACCAGTAGGCATCGGTGTGATACCTTGACACCATAGTCACAACTAGGGATGCACGATATTATCGGCATGCATCTGTATCGGCCGATATTAGCGATACAGTTAAATATCGGACATTGGCCATTCCATCAAAATAACTCGCCGATATAAAAGGTGCAGTTTTTATTTTTATATATTATATATTTATATAGTGTTACATCATTTTCAACCCCCTTTTTAAGATCTGCATTTGGTAGCAGGCCAAATTGATAAAGACCTGCAGAATAATGTAGTATTTTAATTCCACAGCAGAGAAAGCTGTGTAGTCTTTGTAAGTAAGTCTAGGTCCAGGTCTATTTTGTAAATGAGTCCCCGAGGCTCAATGGGATTAACCTGTATATATAAAGGTTGAATGAAAAGTAGGTCTGGGGGAAATAAAATAGTATTGGTATCAGTTATCAGCCGAATAAGTTTTATCATATCGGCGTATCGGATATCGGCCCAAAAATCCAATATTGTGCATCCCTAGTTACAACAAATTATGCAGTTAGAGTCTGGAAAAACATTTAAAATATGTGCTTTAGGGAGCTATAAGTAATAAAAAAGCCTTAATTTTAACCACAGGCTACAACCTTTGTCATGTTCTCTGATCAAACCGACAACTGAAAATGTCCAGAAATATAAAAGTGCATCATCATAAAGCATGAGACAGCTGTAAAATGTGGCGCAACAACCACATGATGTCAATGTGTCAACTCTCAAGGATATATACAGGTGGCAAAACCGGATGTATAAATTCATGCAGAACCCATGCACCTTTCACTGCAGTCTTAGCTTTTTTGTGAACACGGTTACTAATAAAGTCTGGTAATAAAAGGCTTTTGCTCCTGAAACAGGTGTTCCAGCTCCACTTAACAGCCCAAATAAATCAGTCCAAGGCAGCTGCCAAGGGAGGGACTCAAAGCACCTTTGTTGGGGTTAAAGTAGAGCAAAGGGAGCTGTTAAAGACTGCTTACCACCCAAGGTTTGCTGCAGAAGTTGTAGACAGAAAAGAGGGAATTGATGCTGGGTACGCCGCCAAAATGAAGGCCGATCACAAGGTTTCTGAAGTCCTCACCTGGTACCATGCTGTAAGCGTGTTGGCGAACCAGGACAAAGTCGGGCTTGAAGGACCTGCAGGAGGACATGAAAAAGAAAAGACCATGGAACTGTCAACGTTGGCTCAGTAAGACCTATAGAACTCAGCAGTTTTAACACAAGGACAGTTTGCAGCTAAAATAACATCTTGCCATAACTGATCATTTATAACGTCCAGAGGGATAAAGTCCCTTCCACAAAAAACACTGCAGGCATGGCCCCTGAGACACTTTCTGACTGTCTTGATGTCATTTTTTAAATGACTGAAGTATCACAGGCTGTTAAAAGTCAGCCCACTGCTGTTTTGCCTCTGAGCCGCTAGGCAAGGACGTATAACAGTGTAGAAATGGTCACCATATCAAAAGGGCAAGTCGGCATAGCGGCTCGAGGGTGTGATGTGATGACAGACACTCTGTGTGTAACATGCCACTGATTTGCCGGTTTAACAAGGGGGAGAGGAGAAGAAAGAAATGGTGGCACCCGTTACACATACAAGCACCACAAGTACGTCACAATGCTACGGCAGTGCAGACAGAGCGTTACCATAGCATGACATTAGATTATGTAGCATTATTGTTTGATCGTTGCTTTGTCCTCTAACTTTTGTTATTGTGACGTACTTGTTCAGTTCGCCATTTGGAGAATGGGAGTGGTGACCATTGTATCCGTCATCTGACTGCATGCACCGGACTCTGACACTGGCACCGCGATGAACCAATTTGAATATGTGTATGGTAATCCCTCACCTATCGCAGGGATTACCATACATTCCTGAGACCCCCACGGTCGATGAAAATCTGAAAAGTAGCGGCATTATATTTATTCTTTATAGAGTTTAAAGAATTTATAAACCTTTCCCACTCTTTTATTCATATGCTCTCAAACACTTTGGCGATGATGACAAAATGAATGTATATTACACACGATATGAAAAAGTGGGATTAAAAAACCTGCTGTAATGTGCATTATTTGCATTCCATACCTCGCTGTCCTGTACTGTGATATGAACAGTAGTGTTCCATTTAACAATCAGTCTTGGTCCGTGAGGAACAGAAAGAACTAGTTTTATTATCCTCAAGGTTTGACTGATACGATGCAGTTGATTTGATTTGGTGACGTGTCTTCAAGCAGAGTCCTTGGCTCAGATCCACTCCTTGCTGTCTGCAGCGGACCTTTCGATGACGGCTCGGACATGGAGGGGAGGTGCTGAGGGCCGGGTTGGAGGTTACTCTATAAAACTAACTTTTCCAGTCTAGGTAGTGAGCAGGTCAGCGTGTCAGACGAATGAGGACATTGATAAGAGTGATCTTGTACGTGCATTGATCTTCTGTGAATGCTGAACTGCTCTCCAAAGTTTGTAAATAAATCTGACGACCTTGGACTAACCCTCCAACAGGAAGTTGGCTCGAAACACAGCAGTGAAGGCTACTTACGGGACAGATGTGGTTGGCAGGCCGCAGACTGATGAAGTCTTCCGGATGGAAGACGAAACGTTTCTCCCTTAAAGAAACTGGTCCAGATGAAACGATTTAACCTTTTTTGTTGTTACACTTTGGTCCGTTTGGAAATCTCCATGTTTCCACGACAGCCGCAAGAAGTGAACCGCGACATAGCGAGGGACGACCGTAAACTCTAAACTGCTAAGCACAGCACGCAGACATATATAATCAAACAAACAAGACATTGGTTTGGTTACAAATCTCTTGTTACATGTGATTTGCTTATTTTATTGCTATAAAATAAAATAAAATAAAATAAAAACACCTTCCTGGTCAACACTTGGCCTGACTGTATTCAGCTCAGACCTACAGTATCTAGATCTTCCCAAACTCACAGCTCTGTCAGCACAATAACCCTCCTCATCTCTGGGCTGTGTTAACAGTCAGGTGCTCCATTAGTGACTGTGTCGGGCTGAAGAGGTGATAAAACGCAACACCTACTCTTTTTTGGACTGTCAATCCAATTAACACAGTCTAATCCGTCCTTCACGAACTGTTCTGGGACCAGTGCCAGGCGACCCATCGAGCACCTGCAGGAGTCCTTTTAACCATTCCCCGTTTGATGAAATTTGTTTTTGTTACACACAACTGGTTTCAGTTTTGATTCTGGTCACGTTCTTTTGTTAAGCTAGTAATTTATTGACAGGCCAGTACAACGTCCCTTTGGAGAACATTCCTGTCTTTGAGGGCACTGGGTGGTTTGCCAATTGTCACCTCCGTATTTTTGTCTTATTTCTTGGTCAACATTTTTCAGTCAGGTCATCTGGACAGTTTATTTTTTTTGTGCTGAAACGTTTCGCCTTCAATCCAGAAGGCTTCATCAGTCAAAGAAACACAACAAAACTAATTCTTCCCCCAACAGCTTAATATAAAGTGGAACAAACCAGTTCTGTTTGTGATAAGATGGTCTCTTTGGTACGCCCCTCCTCCATTGCTGGCCCTCTTCCTTGTTGACAGTCTTGTCAAACTGGTTGAAAACAACAAAGTCCATGCTCAATAATCCAGGTATAAAATCCAACATTTTTCAGTCAGATCATCTGGACAGTTTATTTTTTTTTTGTGCTGAAACATTTCGCCATCTTATCACAAGCAGAACTGGTTTGTTCCACTTTGGAGTAAGCTGTTGGGGGAAGAATCAGTTTTGTTGCATTTCCTTGACTGATGAAGCCTTCTGGATCAGGCGAAACGTTTCAGCACAAAAAAAGAAACTGTCCAGATGACCTGACTGAAAAATGTTGGATTTTATACCTGGATTATTGAGCATGGACTTTGTTCTCATTTCTTGTTCTTCAGCAAAAATGATACATCTCAAAGGCACATCCCTTTTATTACATTTACTTTTAAAGGTTTTCACTTTTGACATAAATCAGTTAAAAACATACTGGAACAGCCTTTTAACAGTTTAATCAGGAATGAATTTTGACCGTCTCCAGTCAGTTCAAAACGCTTCTGCAAGTCCAAAAGGAGACACGCTACACCTGTTTTACATTTATTACACTACCTACAGTTACAATTTATAAATTTAGTCTTCACTTTTACAGCTCTGAGGATAGTATCTCAACTGTTGGAGACTCGGTGCCTCAAATAGCGATAAATAAACAAATTCTCAGATGCGGTTTCAATAATATGAGTTTTGTGACCAAGTGATCAGTGAAGCAATCGCAAAAAGAAAATTAAGGGTTTTAAATGCCCACAACAAAACTGAAAAGGGTCCGAGACCAGTTTGAGATGCGTCCAACAACTTTGGCCCTTTTCTTTAATGGAAAGAAATTTGTTGCACAAGTTGTTTTTTATTATCAGTGTCTCAAAAATCAAGCAACAAGTCTGCTAATGTCTCCAGCTCATATGAGGAAAACGAGAACCCCTTATTTGTTGGTTCTTTCAAAAAAGCTACGGAGGCCCTAAGGCAGGGCTGTTCAACTAAACTGCTCAGGGGGTCGCAGTTTATGAAAGCCAACGGCTCGGGGGCCGGACATCCAGCGATCATTATGTAAATAAACCAAAGTTTAAAATGATTTGTTATCTTTTAAATGTGTTTATTTTATTGCATTGAATCATAAATGCAATAAACAAAACCCAACTGTTACTTTATTAACAACATAAAAAGAACAACAGAACAATGTATAGTACACAAACACACAACGGGAGGTATGGTTAGCAGGCTAGCCTTTAGCTTGTAGAAATGGAGAGCTATGTTTTAAACCCCAGCACTTCTGGTTTGGCTTAATATAATTCAGTTTTTCCAGATTTAATTCAGTTTTTTCCAAACGTGATTCTGAACACTTCCGCTTCGGCCATTTCTGCTTTGGCTTAATTCAATTCCGTTTTTTTCAAACGTAATTCCGTTTTTTTTTTTCTTTCATATCTGATTCTGGCAACTTCTTCTTCAGCCAATTCCACTTTGGCTTAATGTAATTCCATTTTTTCATATGTTGTTGTGCTTTTG